AGACGTATTTTTTATTTTCAACACAGATATTAATAATGTCACAGAAACTAGTGTCAGAAAATATTTCGAAAATAAGAGAGTTTGAAAATAATAGTTCTCTTTCCCACATAATGGAGTCTTAATAAACCCACTATCATCATCTCCGTGATCACGCAATGGCGAGATCGCGTTAAACTTCGCAAAATGACACGGAGAGGAAAAAGACGTAACTATCCACAAGACACGTTCGCATTATACGACGATCGTTAAAATTTTAATGAAGTACGATTTAATGTAATTATTATGCGATTAATATAATTAAGCGGCTGGAGCCATAAGCGAATTAAGAAAAGAGAGAAGCTCGGGAGATTCCATCAGAGAAATCGTTTATTCCAGTTCTGCCTTCGTTATCTCCTCGTTAATACTTCCAAATATCCGCTGCGAGTTTCCCATAAAAATATAACAGCGTATACATCGAAACTGCTTTTGAAAGTTCGCGCCGTCGAGGATGCTTCCGGGTTCAAAGGCTGCGTTCCGCGAGGCAAGTTGGAAAACAATTTCGTTAAAAATAAAGCCGTCGATGCTTTCTTCTTGGGCTCTCTCAAAGGAGAATTCCTCGATGCTAATATCTCCGCTGGAGAAGTTCGTTTCGCCCTGTTTTCATCCGAATTAAACGCGAGAGAAGACGAGGATGATCCAACAGCGAGAGATTTCTTCTAAAGCACGACCTTTTCCGAGCATCGCGTGTTCGCTGTACATTAATTACCTTAATTGGAGGCGAGATCCTGTGATAGCTCGTGGAAATCATAATTTATGAAGGCAAATGGATTAGCATCGGTAGGGAAGGTACTTTCCGATCCAGAATTAGGCTGTTAACACGGTGACTCGCGAAGCGAACATATTTATCCACTTTGACGGAGGCTCGTGGACATGTCTGGGGATGAAAAATAGTAGAAAAATTGGAGAGCGAAGGAATATATATCGGAGCGATTGAAAGATTAATTTTGGGTCATTTTGGGATGAAAAGTTGAACGAAAAGTACATAAATCGAAGATAAATCTTGACTCTGCTACGTGATCCCTCTTTGCGTCAATGTGACAGCGAAATTGAATTCATGTAATCTATAAACCTTATATTTCTAATATTTTTCACTTTGCTCCGATTTGTTATTTGGTTCTGTTTGCAGTGATAAAACTGTAGCATAAATAGATTCGCATCTGTTTATTATTTTATTCTTTTGAAGCGGTATCTTTATGTTTGGGAAGCTTCCTAGTGCAAACGCGTATTGCAATTGCTATTTAAGGTAATGAAAAAATTATCAGAACCCAAAAAATTAATTATTTCTTTATGATAGGTAATAACAATATTTTATCACCTTCTTTATAACATTCTTCAAATGCGTTTATAATATCCACAAAATTTTAGTAAGAGATACTGTGTTTCAAAAAGATATTGTACAAACCTGTAATATGAGTGAAGTAATTAATAAGATTAATATATTAAATATATAAATAATAAAATAACTTACGTGATATTTTAACAATACCATTACACAATTTTTCTTCACCATCTAGCTTGCATCTGTTTATTATTTTATTCTTTTAAAGCGGTACCTTTATGTTTGGGAAGCTTCTTAGTGCAAATGCGTATTGCAATTGCTATTTAAGATAATGAAAAAATTATCAGAACCCAAAAAATTAATTATTTCTTTATGATAGACAATAACAATATTTTATCACCTTCTTTATAACATTCTTCAAATGCGTTTATAATATCCACAAAATTTTAGTAAGAGATACTGTGTTTCAAAAAGATATTGTACAAACCTGTAATATAAATGAAGGAAATAATAGTATTAATAATATAGTAAATAGATAAATAATAAAATAACTAACACGATATTTTAACAACACCATTACACAATTCTTCTCCACCATCTAGCTTTCTCTTGAACCCCAATTTCTATTAACAATACACCGCCTAATCGTTACCCCAGTCGATGAAATAGCCCCAAAGCAACAAAACGTATATTCCAAAAAATATTTTATATAACCCTCTTTATAACATTCTTCAAACGCCTTTGTAATATTCTCAAAACTTTAGTAAGATATACTGTGTTTCAAGAAGATATACTAACCCGTAATATAAGTGAAGGAATGAATAGTATTAATACATTAAATATATAAATAATGAAATAACTAACACGATATTTCAACAACACCATTACACAATTCTTCTCCACCATCTATCTTTCTCTTGAACTCCAACTTTTGCTAATAATACATCGCCTAATCGTAAACCCCGTCGATGAAATAGTCGAAAAGCTACAAAACGAGTAATCGAAAAAATTCCCTGATCTAAACGATCGTATCAACAATCCCGCCACATCCTCATCCCACTACCCCGTCAAAGCGATCCGCATGAAATTAATCCAGACTGTCGTTCGAAAAGGTATCCCGGCGAAGGCCTACAAATCTCTATTTACCCAACACGCATCGGCGCGAATGGGATTAGCGGAAATAGCCGGTGAAAATCGGCGGCGATATTTCGCGGACACCTTGTACCTGGAGCTGCCCCGTGTATCGCGCGTTTCCCTGCGGGAAATAATACGCATACCGGGCACAAAAGGGAAAATTATGCCGGCAGCGTGGCTGCACGAGCGCCGGCATTGTTCGACCCTCGCGATCCTCGCGTAGCCGCGGGAGATTTTTGTAGATCGACGAGGGTGGCCCGGGGGGTAGACTCGTGGCTAATTCGAGGAGTACCCGGGACCTGGAACGCGGAGGAACATCTGTCGATGGCTCGTTCCACGGCTGATCGTAAACATTTAAAAGCCAGGACATCGCAACAATGGACGTATTTACGCGAGCTTGCACCCTCGCCCGAGATATTGCGCTGGCAACGTTTCTGCTGATAAATTGCATTTCCGACGATGATTTCCGCGGCGACGCGGCACTCTCTGCCAACCCCCTGTCTCTTCATCCCTGTCTACCTCTGTCTCTGTTTGTCTTTCACTTTGTCTGTCTCTCTTTCTCTCTCCGTAATTCTGTCATCTCCGTCTATGGCTGTTTCTGTCTCTGTCTCTCGCTTTATCTCTGTCTGGTTCTGACTCTGTCTCTGTCTTTGTTTCTATCTTTATCTCTGTCTCTGTGTAATTCTGTCATCTCTGTCTGTGGCTGTTTCTGCCTCTATTTCTGTCTTTATCCTCTGTCTGACTTTATCTACCTCTGACTCTGTCTCTGTTTCTGTCTTTATCTTTGTCTGTCTCTGTATACCTCTGACTGTGTCTCTGTTTCTGTCTTTATCTCTGTCTGTGCCTCTGTCCCTACTCTATTTCTATCTGTCTCTGACTGCTACACACACACACACACACACACACACACACACACACACACACACACACACACACACACACACACACATTCACTCTCACTCTCACTCATTCTCGCGCGCGCGTGCAGCCGCTGTTATTGTTGGATCGAAGAAATTTATGGTGCGTTTGACGGTGGTGGCCCTCGACCCTTTAAACGGAGGGGCTCGTATGATAAAATCGAAATTATTCCGTATTGCGACGTCGATATCCGTGGATCATTAGGAGGGTAAAATTGTCGTGTACATTTGCGGATAAAGGAGTTATCGCGGGGACTGTTAGGTGTTAATGTTGTAAGGGGTTGTTCGGGGTAATTCCGCGTGGTGCTTCCGATGATATATCGTTCTGGGTTCAACTTGGGTCGCTTGGCTAATTTCGCTGCTAGATTCGGGATCTCGTTAAAGCTTCGCGTTGGAAAATTTCGGTTCCTATAAACAGACAGAAAGTTATATTAACATTATACGGCTATACCTTTTGGCTACAGCGAAATGACGAAACGAGTTGCGAAATTGAACGAAATAATTGACTTCTGGGAACACAAACTTTATATTTAATCATTTTCTAAATAAATTTTAAACTCCTTTATTTATTCAATTTTCAAGGAATATTAGAAAGGTATAGTGATTAATAACTGTATTCAATTTGGGAGCACACCCCTTGATATTTAATCGTCTTTTAAATAAATTTTAAGCTTTTTCATTTATTCAATTGTCAAACAATATGAGAGAGGTATAGTGATTAATAACTGTGTTAAATTTGAGAGCACAAACTTGATAGTTAATAATTTTCTAAATAATTTTTAAGCTTCTTTATTTATTCAATTCTCAAAGAATATTAGGAAGGTATAGTGATTAATAACTGTATTCAATGTGGGAGCACACCCCTTGATATTTAATCACTTTTTACATAAATTTTAAACTTCTTTATTTATACAATTGTCAAACAATATGGGAGAGGTATAGTGATTAATAACTATGTTAAATTTGGGAGTACAAACTTGATGTTTAATAATTTTTTTAAATAAATTTTAAACTCCTTTATTTATTCAATTCTCAAAGAATATTAGGAAGGTATAGTGATTATTAACAATGTTCAATTCAGAGCAAGCTTGTTGCACGCATTTTTATTCCCCGTAAAACCAGGTTACCAATCAGATTCCCATTTGTTTTTAGTCTCCGAATTTAAAATCGGAGGGTGTCCAGTAAACTCCATTAAACCCTTCGAAAAACAACGAGTGTATTGGAGTATTCAAAACGGCATAGTCTCGTGATCGTTATTTATGGGAAAACGTGAGGGGAGTAAAAGTACGCGGATCGTCAGACACGCGTCGATAAACGCCCCTCGAAAAAAGGAGAAAAAGGAAGAAATGCAATTACCGAGCCATTTTTCACCGAAAATAAAACGTTCTATCCAACAGAGGAAATTCCGTAACGATTGACCAACTTTCCCCCAAACTATCTCCTATCCTGAAAAAGTACCAACACGAAAGAACCAACAAAACGAGATAATTTAATTTTCCAAGTCGCCTATCTCGAAGAGGAAAAAGCGTGTTTAAATTTCTCCTGAACTAGTGTCACTCGAAGATGTTATTTCCTTCGAGAAGATTGTCGTGGACGGATTTTAACCTCGTCACTTCCGCTTTCTGTTGCAGCTTCGGCAAGCGGACGGGTGGCAGCGCCAGGAGACCCAACGAATGCTTCGTCCTCGAGTCCTCCGAGATGATCGTCGTAAGTAGACGTTGTTTTAAAACGTTGTTTTACGTTTCAAAGGCGTCTATGGCCAGCTTTTACGATCGCGCTTGTAATTTGCGCTCGGTGGCGAAAAATTCGCGCACGGTAACTTCCGGAACGGCCGCGAAACTTCCTTCCGAAGCGGAAGTTTGCCAGCGTTTTACCCCGACAAACGAGCCCTACCCGCAGTCGCGGTTCGTAACTTCCGTTCTAACTTCTTGCGCGTTCGACGATTAAATTTAGAGACAAGGCTCGAGCTGCTTCGTGCAATCGGGTCGGACAGGGCGAGGGTGGCTCAACCCCTGCGACCGATTACAGCAAAATTGTTCGAATATAGAGATATGGACGAATAATACTCGAGCCACGTGTCATCGAAGACTATTAATTCTTCTATAAAGAGAAAAAATTATTTTACTTAAAATAATATTTATTTTA